TCCATTCGTGGATGATACTATCGCAAGGTGGACATCGTGTACTACCATGGTAGATTATGAGACCGTGGCAGGAGGGGACAAATTCGGCAACATTTGGCTTCTTCGTTGCCCCGCTAAAGCCAGTGAAGAAGCGGACGAAGAAGGCTCTGGTGCTCATCTTCTACACGAACGTCAATATCTGGCTGGAGCCCCTCATCGATTAACATTAATGGCGCATAACTTTTCCCAGGATATTCCTATGAGCATTCAAAAGACAAACCTCGTTGCCGGAGGTAGAGATTGCTTACTGTGGAGTGGTCTTCAAGGCACACTTGGTATCTTGATACCATTCGTCAGTCGAGAAGATGTAGATTTCTTCCAGACATTGGAACAACATCTTAGATCAGAAGACCCGCCTTTGGCTGGAAGAGATCACTTAATATACCGAAGTTATTATGTGCCAGTAAAGGGCGTCATTGATGGAGATTTATGCGAAAGATATACCCTCTTGCCAACGGACAAGAAACAAATGATTGCAGGAGAGTTGGACCGCTCGGTTAGGGAGATTGAGAGAAAAATATCGGTAATTACCCCTATTCATCTTTCATGGATACCACAAGGCTAACAATAATTCTAGGATATTCGGACACGATCGGCATATTAATTTGGCGTAATTTGGGACAGGGGCTTGTACCAGACGGCGCTGTATATTTTATAAGGTGCTTGATGTGCACTGTATCATGGACCCCATCCATCTCATGATGTTATGTTAAAATACAAAAATAAATAGGAATCTAAAACACGCAGTTATACAGCAATATGCGAGCAAAAATCTCATGATCTCTGTCCTGTGAATCTTCTTCTCGCAACATCATATCTCGACTTCCCTTTTCCCTTTCCTTTCCCTTTATTCGATATAGGATTTTCTTTCTCCCATCTCTCATCATCTTTGTATATTCCCATTGCGAGCTCAAGGTCGTAGTTCGCTTGCTCGAGATATAGGACTGCAATATCGTATCTAACGGGAAATTCATTATTAGCCTTAAGTCCTTCCAGTGTTATCAACCACCCTTTCTGTTGAAACCCACACACTCGATAGGCTTTGAATTCCTACAAGCTATACAAGTAGCTCTTATCTCTTTCTCAATTTATCCCCCCGCAAATCAGAAACACAAACTCACTCGGAAACTTTACACCCAACCATGAATCTCCTCACGCAACTTTTCTTCCTCTCTTCTTCCTCCCCCTCCACAGGCCGCGGGCTCAAACTCACTCCCCCTTTATACCATTCCCCAGGTATCAATATTGTTTTCCTAGCCAGAAGGAGGTGATCACTTGTTATACCATTTTTCTTTCGCAACACATCAATTGGTACACCGTAGCGAAAGGATAGAGAAGTCATGGAATCGGTGGCGTGCGAGAGGAAATGGAGGGTATCTTCAGATTGTGGTTCGGTTTTCGACTCCAACTGTGGTAGGGCTTGTGATTTGGAGTCTAGAGTGGGAGAGTAAGTAGGAGGGGAAGGTCGTGAATTCGATTCGGAAGAGGAATGAAGGGATTCGTAGGAGGGCGGTTTGTCCGACGGCGCAGAAGCTGCTACCGAATTGTCCACCGCTTCTGCACTTCTAACCTGACAGAATGGACAGTAACTCCCGAATCTCTCATTGCCCTCTATACATTCCCCGCAGATAATGCGTCCGCAGCATGATAACCTTCTATTTTCTCTGCTACTTCTCCTTTCTTTCTCATTCCAATGTGTGTCTCCTGTTTCCTTCTCCATATCATATGCCGGGCTCTTCTCTGAGAAGATCACTTCCTCTTTCATTTTCTCATTAAAACTTGAACCACTTCTCGTCGATTGAAGGGAAGAATTGCTTCCCAGCGTAGATGCCGAGTAAGAAGGTAGGCCGCCCTTCCCTTCATTCCTCTCTATCTGCACAAGTAGACGCGCACAAGTGCAGCAAGATTCCTGGCTCATTTTAGTCATTCTTCTAAACCGTATGATATCAAGTATGCGTAGAAAGGATTTTAGGAAACAGATAAACAAGTGAAGGAAAGCTCTAATATTGATTGTTTTATATGATTTGATTTATTGTACAAGTAATGCTACCTATTGATAGCATTGATGGCTGACTATTTGCCCCTCGCTTCATACGAGTACGGAAGGCGGGGTGACCTCGATGTGACGTAGCGCTACATGTTTTCTTATCGGAATGCACAATCGTCATCTACCGACCTCTACGTAACCGAAAAAAGCGGCGGAAGTTGACCATCATTCAAAAGAACTTCAACGACTAAAACTCTTCTCGATATAATATCAAATAATAAAAACACTTAATACCAATACAAAAAAAACTCAAATTTTCGTTTGCTTTTTCAAATTTCAATATTTAATTTGAAATGAATTTATAATCTATTAAAAAAGATCTTTGAAAAGGTACTCAATTTCCGCCGCTTTTTTCGGTTACGTAGAGCCGACCTCTTCTGCAATTCTTCTTACACATTCAACTTCGGTCCTCTTTTTTGTAACACGTAGAACATTGAAAACTTTTCTAATCATATCATATCATTTCCAATTTCTCCTACTCAATATTGATACTTTTACATCATGTCGAGTATCCAATTCGTTATGACTATCTCCTAGCTACCTCGGAATCCTCAAAATACCTATAATCAGTATCGGCATTCCATCGTCTGAACGTTCAAACGGTTGCGGACCTCTCAGCGTCCCCCTCAACTCCTTTAATCACCAAACCTTCGTCCAGCTTTTCTTTGGACGATTTAAAAGGGGAGTTGGCATATACATGTACTTAGCTCCAGCACTCCGATCTATTCTATGTCTTCTCCGATCAACTGTCGTAATGGGAAATATCAAATTATAAACCGACAATATCTCATCCGCAAACTCATAATTCCCCAGGTTCTTTTATCTCGTATTGAACTCTAGACACCTCTTCTCACCCTCTTTGGGCAGCAAATGACGGGAACCATCCCTTTGCATAGGTCTCACCCCGCAGATGTATCTAATCTTACGCTCCTCAACCACTAATGACCCTCGAGATCGTACCCATATTTGATTTATCTCCGCCAGTAGAAGGTGTCTGCGAAAGATGTACGTCTGCTTGTCGCCGATGATTCGTTTCAGGTACGCATAATCTATCACTATCATAACATCGGATGAACTCGGGCTACTGACATAGTTAACGGTCTATTCTTGCTTTAGGTTTCCCCTATCATTGTACATATGCAGTAACCACACGCGGAACGTACTTTTGATCTTCTGTCATCCCTTCTTTAACGGTCGTCTCGTTTGATATCTCTGTCATCGCTTTTATATCTTCCGAGCATCTTCGCAATCGGGTTTTCTCCCCCATCAATTGGTCATATTCCTCTATTATACTACTAATCCTCTCCTGGATATCTTCAAGTTCATCATGAATCTTAAGACTTTTATCCTGATATTCTATTTCTAATAGGTGCTGACCATCCTTGTTGGCTACCTTTGTACCTGGTGTCCTCTTACCTGGAGTGCGATCTCGAATACTCTGGCCGTTCCGTATCTCGAGGCTTTGCGATGTAGTTGACTGTTGTTTACAGCTGTCTTCAACGTCATCCGATGATTGAACGGACACAAAAACAAAAGGAAGCCCCGAAAGAGTTTGATTCACAGGAAAGACTTCACTTCGAATGGGTAGTTGAGTGTAAATTGGTGGTCGAGCGACAGCAGGAAATATTGATGGCAGAGTGCATGAACCTGTCGGGCCTTCCAAGATACTTCTAATTGATGGTAGTTTAATGGCATCCTTCGAAGGAGAAGAAGTCATTTCTGAATGGGGTCGATTCGCCGAAATAGATGTTCCCTTTACTAAGTATGTATTATTTTCAGTGCGGTTAAGATGTATCCAAGTAGACTGTTAGTATTTTAGTTTTACCATATAGTTGCTACGTTGCTACACGTTTATAAGCTGCGGACAGCCACCAACTCGAAAGGTCACCATCCCCTTCATCCTACCTACCACGAAACGAAGAAGGAGCCACCAGTTACGAAACCCACACGCCAAATCCTGAAACTCCACGTCAAATCTTACAAACAATAAACAGACTACAGTAGGGCGTTGATTCTAGTTTACGGAGTATGAAACATAAGTTGCTGCGGCATAGGATGATGGTTAGATGATGGTATTCTCAGGACGAGTACGAGTGTAATATAAAACAATCACTTTGGAGGAGGGGAGGGAACATGCGGTCCTCTACAGTTGGTAACTTTCACACAATGGATAAGTAGATCTGGAATTCAAATCTTGGATTCCATAGACCAAATACCTCTCTGTAATGCTAATCGTACACCTGCATCTTAACCCTTACTCCCTTTTTGCTACACTTATAACTTTCCCCTCATCATTCATCATTCATCATCCACTCTTCCCTCCCGCTATTCACACTCTGCTCTTCTTACACACCTGTTATTTGCATGCACCTACTCCACTCCTCTTCCACTCCTATCACTCTCCCTCTTCCTCTTCCTCTTTCAAAACCATCTCTCCTAGCTATCTAGCTTCTCAAACCTTGGAAGTCAATGCAATCTTTTTGTAACACCTACTTATCTACCTAGCTATCTAGTTACAACAACGATACAACAACGATGCAACAACGACACAACAACGATACAACGCAATCATGAAATTGCTATTCCGATATCTGAATATCCCAATATTTCATTCAAAAGTTTGCATGAACACCTCCTACCTACGTAGTACGTAGTACTCCAAATATTTAAACAAAACAAACGCAAAATCTTATCTTCTGATGATGCAAGTGCGTTTTTGGGGGTGTATACATGCACAGTGTCTCTCTCCTGGTAACAGGACCGTCAAATATCCACATTACAGAAGACTTCGCGTTCAAAAGTTTGCGCGAAATTGCTTGTTGATCAATATATACCTAGCGGTATGCAAAAACTCTTCTACAACTTCATCTTTCGCAATCTAGAAAGTTTGAGGGAGCGATAATCAAAGCTCATGAAAGATTTTTTTTAGATGGAGTTATATAACTTTTTTCATTACTATCTATACATGACGTTTGTCTTCACCCGAGTCAAGTATCTTTGCCGGCCAACGTGTTTGACTCTTCTGCCTCCCCAGCCCCCCCTTCAAACAAGAAGTCGGGGATGTCTTTAGGATAAAGACATCTTGACGAGTATGTTTGAACCGTTCCTTTCGTTCTCACGTCGTTTGGATGCATGATTGGGATTGGATTTGGAATCGGATTAGGGCCGGGTATGAAGGGTGCTCATTTCATCTGGTCTCTCGATAGTTTGAGATTCGAATCTGTATATGTACAGTATTATGTTCTGATGGAGAAAATATGACGTGACGTTTCTTTTCCCAGAAAAGAATATCTACAGACTTGCCCATCCTGGGAAGAAACTTCTTATACAGCGATTATATAACAATTACGATGGAACATATGTTAGTGCGTGTCTTGTATCAGTGACGATATTCCTCAATCCAATATATCGACTTCTTGCATTACGGTTCCGTTAGAAAGAGGAAAGGTTCCGTTTGAAAGATCTGTGTTTTGGCTGATCGTGATTGGGCCCGAAATAGATTCTTGAATCAGACCATCTTCGTTGAGCGATCTAGATCGATCGGAGTGTGGTGGGGTGATACCATCATGTTCATCACGTTCGCGCTGTTCCCAAAGCATTTGCGTTCTGGCCAAAGCCAATGCAAGTAATTCCTTCTCGTTTGAATTTTCTCGTCTTGATACTTTGGGTTCTGGAAAAGGTTTCGTGCTTGTTTTGGTTTCGATTTTTGTATGTGTGACTAAGGTTCCACTGATGTAGATTTGAGGCTCAGGCCAGAATGGTTGGCTCGGATCATGATCTGAGTCTTGCTCATATCTGTTGACCGGAGTGGCGCCTAAGGGGACAAGTTCTTGGTATTCGATGGCTATTTGACTATCTCGTAGGTGAGGAAAATTAGGTACCACATACATGAACTCCGATACCTACAATGATGTGAGCAAGCTAACCAATTTCAGAAATGCAGGACACGTACCTTTACGAAGAAAAGATCGAGCCCAAGGAACAGAGGCTTAGCGTCTTCTGCCAGGTGCACACGTTCATCAGAAGGAACGAGGATATTTGGCTTGAAAGGATCACGAGAATATTTTGCGTGTGCACGGGGCCATATAGCTTCCTTGGCATCCATCTCCAATGGAATACGTTCCCATGCCGTATCTATCACAGCAAGTCAATACAATTTCTTTACTCGTTCACTTCCCTGTACTCACATCTTGATAACTCGAGGTCTTTCTCTCCTAGCAATAACGCAACATCAGTGTTGAGCATCCACTGCTCTCGCGCACTGGAGCTGCCTATTGCTTCTGGTCTGATGGTATCATATCGATATCCTTGTATGATTCGGAATTTGGGCAAAGAAGCAATTTTGAGTGTCTCAGCTTGCGGGAGTTGATCAAAGACTCGAAGGAGAAGTGGAAGTTTTGATAGTCTTTGTTCTTCCTTTTCTCGCGCCTGTCTCGCTTTCTCAGACCGTTCTCGCTCTTGCGCAGCGGCTCGGGTTTGTTCCAATTTCTCCCGCTCTATCCTTTTCTGATCGTCGTATATTCGCCTTTGTTCTGCTTTGTCGCGTTCTTCCTGGGCATGTCGTGATTTTCGGTCCTCTTCTTCCTGTGCTCGCTTAGCAGCTTCCTCGATGGCTAGCTTCTCCTGAGCCTCTTCGACTTCTCGAGCTTCTTTTGCCTCCTTTGCTTCTTTCTCCCGCGCTTCTCTCTCCTTTGCCTCTTTCTCTGTTGCTTCCCTTGCTTCCTTCTCTTTTGCTTCCCTTGCTTCCTTCTCCTTTGCTTCTCGAGCTTCCTCCGCTGCTTTCGCTTCACGGGCTTCTTTGGCCTGCTGCTTGACTTCTCGAGCTTCCCGAGCTTCCCTGGCCAGTTTCACCTGTTTCTTGCGTTCCAGATCGATCAGGTTTGAGAGCTCGGGTTTTTTGGCTGCTTGGATTTCGTCGTTCTCTTTGTCGAAACATGTCTCATTTTCCCCAGTAGATTTTGACGAAGATCTTGATGTGTTCTCTCTGGTAATTTTTAAAGCCCATTTGTTCTGAGATGTTGTATCAAGATTGGGTGCTGGCTGGTCAGTACACGAATTTGATGTATTTTGATCTGTGATAATATGCTTTGAAAGTCCCTCTACTTTCTGGCGCTTAGATGGAGCACCATCAGTCTCCGTGGGAACCATTGTATCAAGTGTACCTGTGCGAGGTGGCGTTGTGCTCTTGCGTTGTCGTTTTATCGGACTCTTATCATTACGAATAGAAGCTAGTCGGTCTTTAGAATCATCTCGTTTTGTACCTTTAGCTTTGTCATGCTTTTCGCTTTTATCCGAAGCCATCTCGACGATGAAAGGTTTTGAGACCTGGTCTTCATTTGCAAGTTCGGTTGTTTGCGCAATGACTGTGGTTTTCTGTTTGCCATCTTTGCTCTTCGACTCTTCTACCTGGTCTCGATCTTGGACAGATACGGTAGAAATATTTGATGCAATACTTCCACGCCCTTGTCTATCCCGTTCTCCTCTCAAGTCCTTACCAGAGACAAGCTTACGCCGTGGTTTCGGAGGCTCGTTTTCAGATGACATCACCGCAGCATCAGCTTCTGTAACCTTCGAAGCTTGCAATTTTTTCTTAGGAGGACCTAAAGGAGTGCTTTCTGTGTCTGAAGTCGGATGCGAAGCGTTGCTTTCCTCTTTTCTTGGACGGCCTGGACCTCTTCTTGCCTGGTTCTGTGTGATAAGGCCCGGATGAAGGGAGTCGCTGCTTGGGCGACGTGACAATCCTACTTCTAAACTCCTCATCGATTTTGAAGGACTCCTCTTCCGTGATGGTGAAGATCGATCACGGGTAGTCCTTATTGGCCTTCTAGAATCGCGGCCGCGATCAGAGTCTCGATGAAGTTTGGGGGAGCGGGATTTGGAGGGCGAAGTTTTGGCTGGCTTCGAATATGAGTTGAAAGCATCTTTGAGTGTTTCAACAACTGAGTCATAGTTGGGACTGCCCCTCTCTCTTTCCTGCGCATGTTCATAGTAAGTCTTATCCTTCAAGCGCCTGGTCGGGTCAAAGTCTCCTGAAAGCAAGCACTTAACCACGTCAATATGACCTTTATGAATAGCACAAAGCATTGGTGTAGACCATCGAAATTCTACACCTCTTAGAGGCTCAGGATCGCAGTCGTAGTTACCAAGGCCAAGTAGTAGGTCGACAGCAAATTTGTCGCCAGCTTTTGCCGCGATCAGAAGAGATGTTGGATCCTTCCCCTTCTTTTGATTGACGTCTAGCCAATTATAGATGTTTGGGTGATCGCCGTTTCGACAGGCTTCCCGAAGCATTTCAGCATTATTATGATCTCGATATAAATCTCGGTGTGTGGTTCTATACGACCGTGCTCGCAGGCCGTTCGATATACCAGGATGCTCAGAGGTAGGGCTATGATGAGGACTATTTCTTGAATAGGACTCATGATCTGCATTTTCTCCCGTTGTTTGTTCGCTCAGGACAGTATCTTCATGGTACTTAGACTTGGCATCTTCAATAAGCTGCTGCATCTCTTTCCTCGTTTTTCTGGTATTTTCCTCGTCCTCAGGAACACTAACATAAGCTGCTGCTAGATCACTAGGCTCATCACCTCCAGCCTTCTTTGCCTTACGTGGGTCAGCACCATACTCTAAAAGGAGTCTCACAACTTCAACATGACCATTGTCAATGGCATCATGAAGTGGTGTGTCGCCAAGGTCATTGACTACATCAACATTACAATCCTTGCTCAAGAGGAATTCAACAATTTTATCGTAGCCTACAAGACTTGCGCCATGCAGTGGCGTGTTCAACGCATTATCTGCTTGATTTAGGTCTTCAGGGTGCTTGTTGAATTCCTCCATCACTCCTGCAAGATTATTCTTACGAACAAACTGGAATAACATGGTTGCGCCAGAACTATCGAGGTGTTTTTTCTTCTTTTGGGGGACAGTCACTGGTGTAGCAAGATCTCTGATGGTAGAAGCTGTGCGTTGCCGGGGTCGAGAGCTACGAGGGTGTGAGCGTCCGCTAGCAGAAGAGTCATCGGATTGGTACTCGGTAGATAGAAGAGGAGGCGGTATTCGTCCTTTACGGTGGCCTGAATTATGGATCGATTTCGAGGGAAACTGAGTAGAGTGACCGCGTTTGTGAGAACGTCCATGGTGGGGAGACTCTGATCGTTCCTTCCTGACACCTAAAGTATTCTCCATGCTGATGTTCAGTGAGGGTATGTTTCCTTTCCTTTGCATGTTGTTCAAGGCAGAATTTCGCAGTCGCTCTAATTTTCGATCTTCGTGGTCGACATGATCTTCGTCCGAGTCCGATGGGTTCTGTTTATTCCGCGGAAAAGCTCTTTCGACGGCTGTAGCCTTATCGGCGCTGTCTAAATTCGATAATGGTGGCGACGATGATTCGTCAGATCTCAATTCTGGCCCAGTAGATTTTGGAAGAGATGAATGCCGTTTGTTTTGTAGACTGGATAATCTCCCATTACCAGACTGAGATTTACTTGGCTCAGAAGGGTCGATCTTAAGACGCTTGCGCCTTCCTAGATGATTTTCGTTATGAGAAAGTGCTTCCAGTGATAAGGTTTCGCGTTTCCTAGACTCGGACGGCTTTCGAATATCTTCCTCGTCACTATTGTCCTCATGCTTGATCGATTTTCGAGTTTTCGAGGGCGAGTGGCCATTTTTGCCTTCCAGGACGATTGTTTCTGCTTCTGAATCACTCTTCACATCAATATCCTCAGGGGGTGCATCGGGCATATCCACATCCCTCGAAGTCTCGGAATCAGTCACAGTCTCTTGTCTTCCGGAAAGCGTCGGACTTTTGATGATATTCGTGGCGTTGTTGACTTTGTCTTTTCGATCAATAAGGCTGGTGGTCGAGTCACCATGTTTTGTAGCCGTTGCTCCCTCATGATTGTGAGTGCCCATAACATCTAGACTGTGTTTCGCTGTATCCTGCGGATCATCCTGGCTTGTATTATGAGTAGACACTTTGATCGTGAATGGTTTTCGGGACAAGGAGGAGCATCCGAGTCCTTCAAACTGATAGATGTATTAGTGAGATGCGCCGGTTAAATTGGTTTGTTGAAGTTGGAAACCCGAATGGCGAACGGATTATATCATTAAATTCGTAATGTAATCGTGGATCGTGAAAGTCTTGAATTTGGAAGTAAGTGAGAAAGTATGTGTACGGATAAGTGTAAATTTTGAGGATTGGTTGAAGAAGAATTGTTCCCAAGGAGCTAAGTAGTATTTGGGTGTGGTTTTGTTAAATGGGAGGAATCGAGTTACCAGATAGAATTGAATTACTTCCACTTACGCTTAGTCAGGACAAGCGCTAGACTAGGTATACGGAATACGGAACCCCACTCAGGCACTAAGCACAAAACACTGAATAAGGAACTTTCATGAACGAGCTTATCCTGTCTGATCCTGTCTATCGTGTCTATCGTGTCTATCATAGGACAATACGCATTGTCCTAAATGGTTCCATGACAGCAGGACAACAATAGAACGAGATTCGAGGCAAAACAAAGCAAAACAAAGCAAAACCTACACGGGTCGCTATACTCGATTCATGAATGCCTACATACCTGGGTATGGATGGATGGATGGATGGACGGATGGACGGATGTATGTATGTATGGCTGGATGGATGGTAAATACCCAGCCATACACTTGACACTTGTTCCTCGAATCCCCATTTTGATGCTTAAGGTACTAGGGAGGGAGATAACTAATCATACCCACCGTCTCGATCTCCAATCCAGAATCATACAGCAGATGAGTGAGATGAGAGAATGAGAAAAGGATCTGTATACGACGAGGCTTACAGAACAATTACATTTTCAACAAATCTGCCGGTGCGGAGTAGAGTGATCTATTTATATCATACAGTACTTTGCCACAGAAGTTCTTTTCGCTTCAGATAGGTGAACGTAGACGCGAACTTAGATTGACAGTAGAGAAGTCTAATTGAAGTCGAACTGAAGTCTAGCTGAAGTACCATTGAGGTCTAATTGAGGTCTAATTCAAACTACAGTATCATCGTATTCTTATCTACAAAGTACTCCGTACAGCACAATAATGTAGAGAAAAACTAACGACTAAACTTCGCCAAAGTCGAATGCCTATGCCATTATTCCAACCAAACAAAGGAGTACAACGCATCAACTGACCTACTTTTCTTTTTTTCTTAGCTTGTATCAGATCATCCCGAGGTCCTTACCTAAACTCTTCCTAGAGAGTCCTAACTCCTAATGAGTTCTAACGAACACTTCTTTAAAACTCAAAGTGCTTGTATGGATATCACTTAGCGAGCCTCGAGCCTAGGTAGTAGAGAAGTGAGTGATTAAATCTTCGAGGACTTGGAAGTCTCGAGGAAGTCAGAAAGTCTACCGTATTCGCCTTTACGTACTACCTACCTTGGCTCCTTGGCTCCGTGGTATTAGTATTCGTACTTTATTAGTGCTTTCTCATCGCTTTGCTTCACCTTCTGCTAGTTAAAAATAAATTTATCAATGGCCCTCTTTTTTTTCCCAATCTAGACTTGCCTTCTTCAGCACGTGATCAAAGCATGATTTTTAAGACGGAGAGCACGTGAAGATAACCCGGATGGCCTAACGAAAAGCTACCAGGTAAGGCTAGGCCGCTCACTATCTTTCGGCATCGAGAAGATACTTGTGTGCATATTATTCCTTCACCCCCTCTCTTATAACTTCATCTTGGACCCAATCTCTTCACCAGATCTTTTCTCCTTCAAACTTCACACACACTCTCACATTATCACCCCGAGATAGTTTAATTATACTTCTCAAAGGTACATATTCATCCAACATGGACATTCTACAACTAGCCTTACCAACATCTCTTGATGAAGCCCGAATCAAGACCCTCCCTTCCAAAGCTTTTTATATTCCTAATTTTCTTACGGAGGAGGAAGAACAAATATTATTGCAGAAAGTAGGTCGATTCTGGGCTCATTCGAGATGTGATATTTGACATTTTGATTCCCACAGATTGCCACAGCCCCAAAACCACGATGGAAGCATTTAACTCATCGTCGTCTTCAGACTTGGCCCTCTGATTTGACCAAGAATACTCTATTGGATGCGCCTCTGCCCAAATGGCTAACAGATCCCGTTGTCTCTCGACTTCTCTCCTTACCTATCTCTCACGAAACTGGAACACGTCATATTTTTAGTGATAGTCCCCATGAGCGTCCGAATCATGTCCTAATCAATGAATATCTGCCAAAGCAGGGAATTATGCCACATAAGGATGGAGCCGCCTATCATCCAGTCGTCTGCACTGTAAGCTTAGGCGCAAGCCTGTGCTTGAATATCTATGGAGACAAAGACGATGGAACAAGAGAAGAGCAGCCAAGGTGGAGGATTTTCCAGGAGCCAAGGAGTTTGTTGATCACAACAGATGAATTATATACAAATTACTACCATGGAATATCCGAGACGGAAGCAGAAATTGACCTAAATTCCACAACAGTCGCAAACTGGGATCTCTTGCGGTCTAAAGATAAAATTATTGATGGTAGATATGAAAGACAGGAGCGAACTAGCCTTACGTATCGGGACGTACTCAAGGTATCGAAATTAGGTTCAAAGTTGGGGATATTCGGCAAACGCTGAGAGACCTAATCTTACAATATGGTATCGATTTCCGTTTCTGCTTCCAACTATCTAAACCAAACTCTGAAGAGAGCATTTTAGTATAAATATGGTATCATTTTCCATCTACCCTTTACACTATCTACACCAAACTTTGTGGTATACCATTTCCTTGTTGAATCTGCAGTCACTCCAAGGTTTGATATTACAAAACACAACCCTGCCAATATGGTTCTGTTCAGGAACTGTCCCTGAGGCGCGGCTGCAATGGCAATTGCAATATACAGCAAGCATTCGCTAGTGTAATGAGGGCAAACGATGTGGCGAAAGAATGGGTTCGAGGGAAGAGTATACTTCTTCAAGCTTGCCAAGTGCTTGTGGCACTCATGCTGACAGACAGATGCAATCACAAATAGAGGTACTGCCATACAAGTCTTCAAAGAGGGCTGTGAGATGTCTATCGAACCTAGTGGATCTGTGGTCGCATCAAGTATGGCTTAGGTAGTTAGTCACTAATGGAAAGAATTACGAGATTACATTTCATATCACTCACCAATGCCTTCAATCCAAACCGAGATTCCCATGAACAAATAATACGCGATTCCAATAGCCCAAAGCCCAATCCACATCTTCGACTGGGAAGGTTTAGTGAGCGTAAGACTCTCATACACTCTCCGGCTACCCTGTAGAGCCATGAGTGTCCATGCCAAAGTTACCTGATTGACTGTCATTGATTTTGTCGCATCTTGTTGAGAGTACGAGGCAAGTAATCTGAAAGCAGGTCCACGTGTGATAATTTGAAACGCCCAGAAAATGGAAGAGGCCACGGAGACGATATAGTAGTGAGTGAACCATGTATGGGGAACCTGTATAGAGCCAACGTATTCGAATAAACGCGTAGTCTTGCTATGGGGGGATGTGCTTTTCTCAGGATTTGGTGTGAACCCTCGACTGCCATAGTTCATGACATGCTGTCGGAATGAAGGTATCAGAGTTCCACCTAAATCTACTGTGGTCCCTAAAATGAAGAAGGCTGCACAGATAGTTCGAGGATCCATAATTCTTATGATGAATCGCAATAAAATGATTTTCTGACAAGACCTTCAAGGATCCCCGGTGAGTGAATGGCACATCAGTTGAATTGGAAACCTTGCCAATTGGGGAATTCGAAGAATATTATGCCTGAGGTTGAAACTATGCGATCATAGAAATAATTTTTGATGCAGAACCCCACAATGAAATTCACATCATCTTCAATTCCAAAATTTAAGATCCAGCTTGAGGGAAATCGCAACCTATTCTTTCCGCCAAAAAATCTCCCCAGCAATACATATCTTTAGATAAGATATCTGGATCTGACCAGAAAAATCCGCAATCATGTCGACCACCGCTGATAAGGTATACTCCCTCGTCCACGACCTTTTTTTCCCAATGCTAATACCCCGCCACAGATCAAACAAATTGAGGATGAGGTATACTCCCAGGACCTGATCAATTCGCCGTCGATAGATCCTAACGGAATGATAGATGTCCAAAACCCAAAAGAACAAGGCGACGAGTTTCCATCTTGGTCAACTTAAAGCAAAGCTCGCTAAACTCAAGAGAGAGTTGTTGACCCCTACGTCAAGTGGTGGAGGAGCAGGTGTAGGGTTCGATGTAGCACGTACAGGTGTCGCCAGTGTTGGATTTATAGGTTTTCCATCGGTGGGAAAGAGTACATTGATGAGCAAACTTACCGGCCAACATTCAGAGGCCGCCGCATACGAATTCACAACCTTAACGACAGTACCTGGTCAAATTTTATACAATGGAGCAAAGATCCAAATTCTGGATCTTCCCGGTATTATTCAAGGAGCCAAGGATGGAAAGGGTAGAGGTCGACAAGTCATTGCGGTAGCAAAGACGTGCCATTTGATTTTCATTGTATTGGATGTCAATAAGCCCCTGACAGATAAGAAAATCATCGAAGATGAATTGGAAGGCTTTGGAATTAGAATCAACAAGTCACCACCAAATATTGTGTTTAAGAAGAAGGACAAGGGCGGAATCAATATCACCAATACTGTCCCAATGACGCATATCGACCACGATGAGATCAAGGCTGTCATGAACGAGTACAAAATTTCATCCGCAGATATCGCCATTCGTTGCGACGCCACTATCGACGATCTGATAGACGTACTAGAGGCCAAGGGACGAAGTTATATTCCTGTCATTTATGCATTGAACAAAATCGATGCTATCTCGATAGAGGAACTTGATTTGCTTTACAGAATTCCTAACGCATGTCCTATCTCTTCCGAGCATGGGTGGAACGTCGACGAACTGTTAGAACAGATGTAAGTTTATGATTTGAGAACTTTTTCATGGAATTTTGCCTTGGGAACTTTAGAAAATTCAATTGAATGGCGCGGCGTTCTGAGGCTATAATCGACTTGCTCAAGAGAAGATGCAAGGCGTTCACCAGGAGCTAGCAGATTTCTGTGGTTGCCAAAATTACCTAACAACCTGATGCTAACTCTTGAACAGGTGGGAGAAACTAAACCTTGTCAGAGTTTATACAAAGCCCAAAGGAAAATTGCCTGATTACACAGCACCAGTAGTGTTACGTTCCACGAGGTGCACAGTTGAAGATTTTGTAAGTGGCTATTTTCATGATTCCGAGAATCGCGTAGCACAGCATCAAGTGACTAACGGTGATCAAAGTGTAACGCTATCCATAAAACTATTGTGGACGATTTCCGCGTGGCTATTGTTTATGGAAAATCAGTCAAGCATCAACCTCAGCGTGTAGGTCTCAGTCACGAATTAGCAGATGAAGATATTAGTAAGTTTTCACATATCGATTAGGCAGTTGTCATGAAAATTCGAGCTAATCCATCATGCAGTTACCATTGTCAAACGATAAAAAACATGCAGAATAGAACGATACGGTGTAACGACCAAGGATCTTCCGGTGGTACGAACAACGCGGAGAAGGACGATGGACGTTGAAGAAGCCAAGGATTTCGGAAGTTAGAGGAGGGGATGGGCTGATATGGTCTTAATGGCAGTGCTCGTCGGGAGTCAATGGCGTCATGTTAAGGTACAGACACTTGCGGGCCTTTGGGTTACTGGACTCTGGAAGAGATAAGAGGTGATTGCTAGTTACAGTACTAGCAGTTGCCCGTAGATTCGTACTCACGGATTGGCGCCCCTGCTCATTTTGGTATGAGAAGGCTACGAAGGTCGACATGAGGAAGACATAGATGAATATCCAAAAGAGATTTTTTTACCCCTCAATATACTTGAATTGACAGGACAGGGTTCTGAATACAGATAGATATTGTTTTATATTGGCATTTATACATGTGATACAATGCGCTGCTTGTGGGATTCAGTTATCAATTTTGATAGTGGCGAAACTTCTGAATGGATGGATGGATGGATGGGTCCATCAATCAATGATCTTCAGGTAGGCGCTACGAAGATGTGATGAATGATATCTCGGGATTCCATGGGCCTGGGCCAGTTTATGCGCGTGGGGACGCTTGGATCAGATGATGAGACTTGGATTTGAATGCTCGGGTTTTGCTTGATTGGGATGAGATGTTTGGATGTGTGTGCGGATGAGATGGTTGAGGATGGGGTGTGGTAAGTGTTTGTTTGTTTGTTTGTTTGGGTGAAGTTGCTAATTAGGTGAGGGGGGTTGAGGATGAGGCAATAGTGATGATATGGTATGTACGGTATGGGGCATTGGGGGTTGGAATGAAATGCTATGTTATCAGTTGCCCGATGGGCTGGGAGAGTGATGGAATGATGGAGTGGGAGATAGATGAGATGCCTAGTTGATTCATGGTTACTGTGAGTGTGAGTTGGATTGGGATTGGGATTTGGCCGAGATGGAGTGGCATATTCCGCGGAGGGAGGAATATCTCGAGTGCCTGGAATTGGGAAGAACTAGGTAGGTATTGTATGATGGATATTACTCGTTGGGATTTGAGTCACGGGTGAGAGATAGATGGAGGGATGAATTCATGAAGGAGAGGGTATTCAAACTGTATGGTAAGGAGATCGATCTAATGAGTATTGAGTCCTGGACATATCTCTGTAGATGCAGAAAAATGATAAATTCTCTCCTCGCTCGGAGTTAGCAAAGCGTCTATCTCATTGTGGTTTTCTTTCAACTCCCGATCCGATGGATCTAGATTCTCAATCCTAGATCGCCGGGTATAGATAGATAGATAGATAGAGACCGGAGCGTCACAAAAATCCGTAATGGTTCGTGCAACATCATGTCATATTGCATTATATCATGTCAAAGCTAGGTACCTATCTATAATCGTGGCTGCACAGACATTTTTCCTTCTTTCTTTCTCTATCTATCCATCCCACCCATCATCATCATCATCATCATCATGAATCATGATATTCGCAACCTCGACTAAGCCTAGCGGTCCAACCCGGTTCTCCGTCATGTCCGTACCTGAGTGCTGACTCCTGACACCTGGGTGATCAACCTGCGTTTCTGAAAAATTCGGCGCTTCGGGTAACCGTTTCTCGTAAGGTTGATCGCGTTCGCCTGTGCTTTTTGCTTGCATACATGATTGGGATGTTTCTTCGGCGGCTACACAGGCGTTTTAAGCGGTCGATGGACTCCGCGTGGGAACTTTGGCCCTTTGGGGGATTTTTGCATGGTTGGGGAATGTGGTTGGTTGGAATGGATGATGGATGGGATTATGGGATTTGATTGAAGTGAAATGGAAGAATTGGGAAGAATTCGATGATCGACGCAGGCTTGGGGGGAGGGTTTTCTGTAGAATCGGATGAGATGAGATGAGGTGGACGGGATTGAAGATTAGTTCTACAGTATGTATCAATGGAGAGAAGAAAAGTTCAGATAGGAGCTTTCGAGAAGGTTTATTGAAATGAAAATGGATGTCAATTTCGAATGGGAAAAGTTTGTAATATGATATTTCCCCCGAACCTTGATGTCGATATTCATTGAGCCAGTCAGGTCAGTCTAGATGCTCAAGTTGAGCAGAGCAGATGAGGATCATTTCCCCGCGATGTCGATAAGATTGTCTCAATTGCCGCCGACGAGAAAAAAAACGTGGATGTAGGTTTAGCTTTAGGTACCAGGTATATACGTAGATAGGATGTCTTTGAGCATGTATCATGATGTATGTTTTACCGCTGTAAGCTAGCAAAGAGGTCTGAGCAGAGACAGGGAATGAGCTGAGGATGATTTGAAATGAAGTTGTCACCTCGTGATAGAGGATCTACAAAAGTCCCGAGGTTGAAGTTGGGAATGGTGTTTCTAGGTTCCTTCACCGCTGTTGAGCAGAGAGATGTGTATGTTGCAGCCAAGACGTAGGTTTGAAATGGGGACGTGGACGCGTTTCTTTTTGCTTTTGGTTAAACCCCCCTCTCCCCTTCGTTGTTATGTAAAGAGTTTGTTTCATATGGTGAATGCGCCACGGATGTACTGCTGTCTTTCTGTGACTTGGATGAATCAAGAAGTTGAGAGTGTACATTTGTAAGTGGTCGCGAAGTGCCTCACGGCCGCTTATACAAGCTGCTCTCCCTTGATGAAACGTAAAGTAAGGCTCCCTTGAGATCGTCGCTGAAGAATTAAATACACAGAGAATGAAATAAAATAAAATAAACCAAAATCGGAAAGAATTATGAAAATGAATGAAGTTGCAAGGAATAATTGCAAATGGATTGGAATGAATAGTGGGCCATTAGGATTTCACCCGGAGTTTTTGACACGAAAGTGTAAGGTTAGACCAATGATTAAGAACGTGGATGATGCACAAAGATGGGGAGCCCAACTTCAGATGCGAGGTTCCTCCACATTCGGGGGTTTCGGTTAGGTTGATGGCACGGTTTGATATGGATAATGAAGACGGGAGGATGGATTGGAATGGTGTTGGTTCGGTTGTAACTTGTCAGTGATGGATGGTTAATAGTCATTCATGCTTTGGGCGGGGAGCGGAACGGGGAAGAGGAGAAGCGGCACGTGTATGCCTAAACACTTTCGACAATTACAAACTCCATTCTGCTCAAAAGAGAACTTCGCGAGATATAATGCCATGGCGGAGTACGGATTCAAGGGGACGGACACACAGTGGGGTATTAAGATTTCCAAACATAAACCCCCCTGGTCGGTAGGTACCGATGCAGCCGAAGCGATTCTAGCTAGGAGATCGAATTTGAGAATTTGATACGATTTCGGAGTTCGCGAGCAGAGCAGACGCGAGGCGAGATGGAATGGAAATCATGGGGTGAGATGGAAGAAGACGGTCATGGCCATGGCTGTATCCTGTTACCTGTATCTGTTATGTGAGGTGTGTTACTCAGGGGCAATGCACGCTACAAATGCAGTACATGAAATGGGTTGCACCTACGAGCGCCCTGAACTAGAGCCGAGTGAATGAAGCCTTGCCATTATGCTGAAGTGCAGGAGGTTGCTGGTGGTTGCAGCAGATATCTGTAGCTCCCAACCATACAAATATAGTACTTTGATACCAACAGTTGGAAACTTGGGACGAAGGATGGATGGTACCTACTTCAATGGCCCCCAAGATCAAGAAATGAGGCGAGGTTGTCTTGTCAAGAGGGAGCAATGCGAAACGATGAAGTCAATGCCATGCAATATCTCGATTGGGGTCCAAAACCTGGGACCAGAATAAACATAGAGTTTACTAACTTTGCTTACGGTAAGTAAGGTACGGATCTATTCATTTCTGCAACGATCCTCTTTTCCACCACGAGGGTTGGTTGTAGCTTCTACACCATGGTAACTTACGGCAATGAAACGTTCGGATTCCATGTAAGGTTCGTCTAATAAGGGTGGCTTGACTAGGTTTCGAATTTTGGCTAATATGATACATGACAACTTTTGGTATAGAAGGGATCAGTTTGTTACTTGTTTAGGGAATAGGCGGAAGTTGCTCCGAACTTGAATGAGCTCTGATTGCTGGCTGGTTTTTCCGAAATCCTTGTACCTCCGGTACACCTGTCGCACCATCAAAATTCGTTATCAAAATGCAGAAAAGACAAACTTTTGGCGAGACGAGACGATGAAGGGGCTTTTGAGATGATTGTTCTTCCAAGTTGTTATCAATATTATTATCCGAGCCGAACCTGACCTAGAGACTTAACAAAAAAGAAAATCAATCATTATTAACTGAATCTGAGCAATGGGTAGCATTTGAAACGATATGATATAATATGATATGATAATGGATGATTTAATTGTCCTTACTGCGGCAACTAACTCGAGCTAACAAGTAATCCCCGGTACTAAGATCATTTGACGGATTCACCTCATCTTTTTACTTCCGGGGCGTACCGTTTGATGAACTTGGTTATCAGACCAGAAGCTAGAAGCAAATTCAAATATCTAGTAGGTTCATCTAAACGTTTCATTCGTTAATAGCTCCATATCCTGGTTATCATCTACGATATCCAGCAAAACTTTAGACCTTGAGTAGTTTAGTCGATTCCCCATTTGACTCAGCTGAAATGAGATGCGATTTGACATTTAACCCATTTGGAAGATAATCATCTGGATATACCCTACAAAAACCTGGAAAAGCCTCAACTTCTCAATCTTTTGGAGAAAGCGGATGAGAGTGGACCTTGACACGACGATATATTTTTACTGAATCAAGCTTCAAAAAAGTCAATCTGATCGAAATTAGATACTTGTCCTCTCCACTCTTCACATTGAACTTCCTGAGGTCCCCGAATCTTCCGTTCGAAGACTTTGAGGTTCTCTCTAGATATGTTTAGATGTTCGGCGATTCCTTCAGCTAGCTCCCATTATACAACCAGCAATTATTGCATTACTTGAGCTACCCGTGGACTCTTTTGAACAGATATGTACACAGATGATTAGATGATTAGATCCGCTTCTCATCTGGTGGACTTCTCTCCCAAGCAATCATTTGGTCAAAGCAACAAATCAGGTAAGTCTTCAAGTCTTACTTCGTACTTTCCCTGTACCTGAACCTTACTAAACCATATTTAAACCCTACCAAAATCAATGATCAATTCGAATCCTTGTAAATGACTTCTTTTGAATCTTTTCAAACGAATGGCTTTTCCTTTTTTCTTTGAGCTATCTGGTCTATCTTGCTGTCTGCCTGCGGTTCTTCTGAATGTCTACACCAAAGTCCATCCATCTCCCTTTCGATTCGTTCTCCTGTCCTCTCTTTTCTTTTTACCCTTGCTAATCCCATTCTCCAAGCTCGCTCATTCGTCGTTGCTCCAAGATTGATTCCTTGCCATTGCTTTCCACACTCCCATGCTTGACAAAGTTATTAGAAGTAGTCTTTAACCTAGTATGGTAGTAAAGACAGCAAACCTAGCATCTATTCTCCTTGGTCCAATTGGTCCCCACCATTAATATATTCAGTTCCCAAGTACTCCCTCTTCCTGCTGCTGCGGAACCTTTACCTTGCAAAATTTCCATGAACCGACCACTACTTACACTACCACAAACTCCAAAAAGTCTGGGTTTACCTCCTACTCATACTATAACGTCCCATCCATTCATCATACCTACATACATCATACATACATACATACATACCTACATACATACATCTTTTTTGGTTGCGCGCCTTCCCCAGCATAATATCCATTGCAGCTTTTCGCATACGCCTCGTGTTTCTTCCCCTCTTCGGCATTGCAGCGAGCATTTTCTAGCATCTTTTTCCCAGCATTTATTCCTACCCTCCCTGGTCGCATAATAATAATTGTTCATCCGTCTTCTACCCCATCTACCGCAGACCACCACTACCATCCTCAAAATCGACCACCACCACCACCACACTTAGAAGTGCATGTTTCCTTTAGCTGCGCGCGTCTAGCATTAGTTCAAACAAATCTCAAAATATTCTCGCTTTCGAAACTTCACATCACCTGAAATAAATCAGCCAGACTCAATCCGTTACTCCTGCAGATTCCGCAGGGTTTATATATTTGACGCTGCCAGGAACCATACTTCGCTTTGCTTATCATGCATGCAGTATCCCGCTCTTGAGGCTTTCAACGTCCCTGATATTGTATACCTTACGCAAGGTCCTGTACCATTAAACAACTTCAATTACCTCGGATTTCTGGAATTTAAGGAAACACCTGGGAAACCATTCGTTTAGAGACCATAGATCAAAGAATGCACGAATCTATGATGGCCCATATTGGCATGGACCATGAGCAACACCACAATCCACAAGAAAATGGATACGGCGGTGAAGGTCAATGGCAGGATATGGGCAACAATTACAACTCTTCACAGCATCAATCACCAATCTTTGAAAATAGGATTCAATATGAATATATGAACCAGCATCATCCAATGCCCACTGAGCCTCAGTATCCAAATCCAAGAATGGCCCCGCCGCCGCCGACATATCCCACACATCACCAGCAACTGCTTCCTCTCATCATGCCAAACCATCCCACGTGGCCGAGCATGTTGACAAATCCTGCAAACTCTCAAGCACCACCTGTTGCGATTCCTCCTGCGAACTCTGGTAAACCACCTCCAAAACTACCAACTATCCATGCTACTCCGACTCCAAGG